TATTATAAATGTTTATGCTCCTAAAATAGATTTGGATATGAGTTCAAAATTAAATTTTTGAATTTTTGGAATTACTTAGAAGAATTAATACAAAATATATCTCTTAAAGAAAGAGTTTTATTGAAAGAGATTTAAATGGACATATTGGTAGAAAAGTAGATGATTTTAAAAACATTCATGACGGCCATGGGTTTGGAACGACAAATGAAGATGGCAAGACCATATTAGATTTTTTTTTAGCTTATGATTTTTTAATTGCTAATACTTTATTTAAGAAAAGGAATGAGCATCTCATCACTTATAAAAATGGATATAGTACAACTCAAATTGACTATTTTTGATGAGGACATCGGAGATCAACAGCTATGATCTTGAGTTTTTTTTATTTAAATGTTTTCTGTACTAGTTTATTTTATACTGTTATTTTTCCCTTTATACCCTTACGAGTGGTCATGTATTATTGTAGCCCAAAGGGCATTTTAGTCTTTTATTTCTTTTATTTTCATGAGGCCTATTTATAGGCTAGTTATTTTGTATTTGGGATGATGATTTGATAATGAAATTTTATGTGTTTTTCTTCTTCTTCTTGTGAGTGCACTAGAGAGAAGGGAGAGAGAGCTCAAGGTGAGCAAACGCAATATCTACTAGTCACCGGAAGAGTCCGTGGCTCGTGGTCTTCATTTACATTTTCTATTCTATCTCCGTCTATTCCCCACCGAATTCTCATCATCCCTCCACTTTCATTCCGCCACCAAAATACCCCTTGAACCCCACCGAATTCCCCTTCCACAATCCCACCAGCCGGCCTAGCTCCTAGCCACCTCCACCCAAAGCCAAACCTGCCTCTTCCCTCTTGGCCGTCGGCCCCACCCACATCTCAAATCATTATGATGATTTTAATCGTCATAATGACCCCCTGAATTGGCTCATGCATTGAATAAAGGAGTTAGGAATTTTTGAAATTCAAAATTTGAAATTCCAAAACTTTCCTTATTTGCAAAATCAAATTAAGGAAAGTTTTCAAATTTTGAATCCAATCTAAATTCAATTTAGAGATGACTCATTATTTTCCCTCATAATTGGTCAAGCTTGTTTTGGAAACAAATAAAACACTTCCCACAATCCCCTCCCTCCTCTTCATGCTACCGGCCCCCCTTCCTTGGGCATGGCTTGTGTTGTTTCCTCATTGAGCCCTCACCCTCTTTGAATTTGAAATCAAAATTTCAAATTTAATCCCCTCCAAATGCCTAATGCTTTTTGAATTTCAAAATTCAAATCCCCCTTAATTACTTTCCTAAAATATCTTTCCATTAATATGGAAACTTCTTGATTTGAATTCAAAATTATTTGAAATTCAAATTAATCCCATATTAATGAATCTTATTATAGGAAAACACATTCAACCTCTCAAATCTGAAATTAATTCATATTTAATCATCTAATTAATGCTCCCAATCAACTCAGTAATGCTCACTTAATCAGCCGGCCCCTCCTAATCTCCATTACTCCCAAATTCTGATTTGAAAATTCTCAAACTTTCAACCTAGCCGCCCCTCCTTAATTCCCTTCACGGTATCTTCAAACTTACTGGTTTCCTGCTTACTGTATCTCTATTCCAGCAATTGTATATTGTTGTTTTGTACCCAGTGCATTCCCAAATTGAAGTCCAAAGATTCCAACGTCAAACAGCACCAAGTTTAGGTTTTCCTGATTGCTATATAGTGTTGTCCAGTATTTTCTGAAGCATTAAAACTGCTGACCAGCAGTCTTGGTGAGCTCTCCCTTTGCTGACCTGCTGCCCAACAGCATCCGGAAGAATTCCAGCAAGGGAAACTTGAATTCCTGCCGCCTAAAACCTTCAAACTGCTGGCTGCTCTCCTACAACCTGCTGTCCACTGATTATACAAATCTCCTAGCACCATAACTTCATCCGGAAGGTTCCAATTGATGTCCAGAATCTGTCCAGATCAAAAACTGCTGCTGTCTTGAAGATCCGCACCTTGTCTTGGCTAATCGATGGTGCGAGGAAGCTCATGGTGGCTGTCTTAGTCATCCCCAACACTCAAACGATCCTGCCGGAGTGCATATTTCTCGTCTTTGGGTAAACTCAACATCTGATTTGCTATCTTCATAGTTACATCCTTGATTGTGGTTATTATTATAGTCATGAAGATAATGTTAATACTTCTCCGCTAATGCCTAGAAATTGAAAGAGTTGAGTGAAGGAACTTCTTGTAGAGACTAATCTTATTGTTAGCATTGGGATTTATTTTTGAACCCATTCATGCATGCAACGCTAGATTAAATTGACTGTTTTACGATCTTAACCTTTATGCATGTGATTTAGCCTAAACTTGTCTTGCCGCTCTTCGTGTTTTCTTTTGTCGTTCAAAATCAACATAAAGTTTACAATTATTGTGCTCTAAATATTAAGCGTGCAAATTCATTAATTAGCTCATCTTCGCATGTACGTTCCACATCAATTTTCTTATAAGAAAATTATATCGTTTAAATTGCAAAGATAAGTTTATGTACCCAACATCGATTATTAGTTTTAGACTTTAAGATAAAAGGACAAAAAATAAAAAATAAAGTAAAATGATATTTTAAGATTAGATGGGGGCAATTAAAGAATATTAACAAAAATATTTTTGAGAGTAAAATTTTAGATCTTAAAATTTTGTCTGTGCATAAGGATGTTAATGTTATGTGGGAAAAAGTAGCTAGTAATATTAAGAATATTACAAAAGATTTGATTGGAGTATCAAAGGAAAAAGCTCCTAATAGAAAAAATAGTTTGTGGTGGAATCCAAATATGCAAGAAAAAATTAAAAATAAAAAAGATCTGTCATAAAAATTAGTTTAATTATAAAAACTCTGATAATTGGGAAAGATATAAAGATGCTCGTAAAGAATCTAAGAAAGCAATATGTGATGCAAAGACCTTAGCTTTTAGTGATTTATATAATAAATTAGATACTAAGGAGGGGGAAAGATATATGTATAAGTTAGCCAAACAAAGAGATAGTAGTAAGGATTTAGTTCAAGTGAAGTGTATTAAAGATGAAGATCAAAAAGTACTTTTCATAGAAGATGATATTCAACAAAGGTGGATGAGATATTTTGCTAAACTTTTAATGAAGATTATGAAAATAAAATTGGTTGTAGTGACCTTAGCAACCTAAATAAAAATAAAGATTTATGTTTTTATCGGCGCATTAGTAAAACCGAAGTTAGAGAGGCTTCAAAGAAAATAAAGGGTGAAAAAGCTGTTGGACATGATATTCTAATAGAGGTGTGGAAATGCTTAGGAGATGAAGGAATTTCTATACTTTCTAAACTTTTTAATACTGTTTTGAAGACTAAAAAGATGCTAGAATAGTGGAGAATGAGTGTGTTAATCCTTATTTTTAAGAATAAAGCTGATGCATAAGATTGTGTGAATTATAGAGGAATTAAGTTAATGTGTCATACTTTAAAACTATGGGAGCGAGTTATGGAATATAGGTTGCGACGTGACACTAATGTTTCTCAAAATCAATTTGGATTCATCCCGGATAGGTCGACTATGGAAGTCATACATTTATTGAGAGGTTTGATGGAGAAATATAGAGAAAATAGGGAGGATCTACATATGACATTTATTGATTTAGAAAAAGCATATGATAAAGTTCCAAGAGAAGTGCTATGGAGAGTTCTTGAAAAGAAATGAGTTAATATTGCTTATATTCATTCTATTGAAGGCATAAAATAAAAGAGATGTACCAATTTCAGCTGAGTTACATCAAGGATCAGCCTTAAGCCCATATCTTTTTGCTTTAGTCATGGATGTTCTTACTAGACATTTGCAAGAGGATGTACCTTGGTGTATGCTTTTTGTTGATGATATTCTTCTTGTTGATAAGACTGAAGAGAGAGTTGAAGGTAAACTTGAATTATGGAGGTCAACTTTAGAGTCTAAAGATTTTCCCTTGAGTAGATCTAAAACGGAACATATAGAGTGTAATTTTAGTAGTAATAGACCTAGTGAAGGGATTGTGACTTTGGGTGATCAAGTCATTAATAAGAGTACATGTTTTAGATATCTTGGATCTACTGTTCAGAGTGATGGTGAAATAGATAGGGATATTATCAGCAGAATTCAAATTGGATGATTGAAGTGGAGGAATGAATCAGGCTTGTTTTGTGATAGAAAAGTACCCCTCAAATTTAAGGGAAAATTCTATAAGATGGTGGGGAGGCCTACAATGTTTTATGGTGTCAAATGTTGGCCATGAAAAGAGAAGCATAATACTAAGTTAAGTGTGGCATAGATGAGGATGCTCAGGTGGATGAGTGGTTTTACCCTTAGAGATAGGATACGAAATGAGCATATACGTGAAAAGGTTGGAGTAGCTCCAGTAGAAGATAAGATTAGAGAGAATTGCCTTAGATGGTTGATCACATAAAACGGCGGCCTTCCGATGACCCGATTAGGAAAATAGAGGTATTAGATATGACTTATGCTAAGAAAGGTAGAGGCAGACCTAAAAAGACTTGGTTAGAAAATATTAGAAATGATCTTTCTTTATTAGATTTAACGAGAATTTGACTTTTAATATGACACAATGAAGAAAAAGGATTCATGTAACCGACCCCATGTAGTGGGATAAAGGTTGGTTGTTGTTGTTGTTGTTGTTGTAAAGTAATTAGTTCAAACATCCGATTAAGCTTGAAACAAACTGGACCTAGAACAACCTTCACCTTGTACAGTTCCTAAGCTAACCCAGGTCAACTTCAGATTGGATCCCAATCTGCCTGATCAAATTTAAACCCAACCATTTGGCATGCCTACATGATATGGCAAAATAAATGTGACTAACAATGAATCTTACCAATATTTTTACAAATGTTCAGTAAGGAAACTAAAAGAATATTTAATGATCCAGGTTAGAGAAGGCCTACTGTCAGCTATCATGTGAACTTAAATGAAACATGTAAATAAAAGTTGATGACCAAACCTCTAGTCCTCCGGGAAAACAAAAGGAAAGGAGATCCTTGTACTTCAGTGGTAACGGTTTGTCTGGAGGATATACAAACAGAACCTAAAAATAACGGCATCGAAGGCATAAGAAAATAAATACATTTATTGCTTTCAAGGTAATCATGGAGAAAAGAAAAAGTTAGTACAATACAATAATGAAAACCAATTTTTTAGAAAATAAATAAAAAAGAAAGGAAAGAAATATTTGAAAATTAATCCGTTCCAGAGAAAATTAATAAGGAAAAAAATGCAACTCAGCTAATTATAGGGTTACATCAATGAAAAAGGACCTGTGGCATAATATTGATATCAGCTTCAACGTGGTCTTCACCTTTCAGCATACTTGTTGATATTTTTGTGCCGCTATTCTTTCTTCCCATTGCTACCTTCTCAAGTGCCTTGAGATCAGCATCAGGATGTAACCCAACAACAACCATGCTCTCAAACAGCCTCGTTGGTTCTTTGAAAGATTTTTGATCCTGTTCAAATGCAAACATTTTGCAAAAAAATTAAGAATGGGGAAGTAACAATGCGAGCAGAAATTTTCGGTGATCTATTTTTAACTGGAAAATGAGAAGTTGGCAAATATCTGGTGGATAAAGAAAAGGTTTCACAATACCTAATATATGTAGATGTGAAGAAAATAAGAAACCAGCAGTTAGCAGGAAAACCTTACTTCTTCAATTGATACACAATTCTAATATTATCTTCCTACCAAGTTTCATTATAGCATCTATAATTGTCTTGGCTTAGGCACACAGCCGGCCAAATAGACATCCACGTGAATAAACACATCAAACTTACAAACAGCACCTTAGCGAATCTGCGTATATATACCTGTACTAGTAGGAGATTAGTAAAAATATGACATTTTCAATTTCCTCCTATTTAACACAAAATTTATATGAAGCAATCTAGAAAACAGAAGTTTGAAGTTCCATCCAAAAGGCCTCTAACCTTCCATCGCATTAAAAATCACCCTACAAACTTCTAATTCAAAATACCTAATAATTACTTCACAAACAATTCCAACTTAAATCAAAAGGTTCAGAGGAACGCTATTGATTAGCGTGTCTGAACAAAAATGTAGCATTCATCTTATCACCACACCAACAAAGGCCCAATTTTTAATAGAAAACTGAGGGTGGGTACATCAAGAGAATTTTGAAATCATCATTTGATGAAAATGTTAAAGCGATGTGCAAAGAAAGAAACAAAGAAATGAAGAAAGAAGAAAGAACTATAGATAGAAAAGAAAGCCTCAATGAGCAAGGGCATGATACCAAGGTCTGCAACTGAAATCTCGCCCATTGGCGCTTCTGAGTAGTAAGAATTTCTGGATTATATGCTCCCTTCTTCACTTGAGGAGGTGGTGAAAAACCTTTCAACACTCTGGCAACATGACGCTGTAGTTTCTGAAGTTGACTATTGCTATTCTCATCTTTAGAAGAATATATAACGGATGGACGTGGGGAACGGACATTTGAAGCTGAAGCTGAAGAGGCAACATTAGCAACTTCTTCAGTTGTTTGGAGAAAAAAGGAAGCACCCCATCTAGGACTACCAGAATCTTCACTCTTCTCCATGTTCATCTGTAGAAGGGAAAAAGGTAAGCAATTGAGCAAAAGAAATTTGTTAAGGTTAAAAGCATTAAGTAAAAAAGTAAACTATTAGAAAGTTTTAATACACCTAAGAACCCATAGCACTTATTAATCATAATCAAAACCTGCTGAAAATGACAGCAAAATAAGCTAAATTTGACCATTTTTTTCCTTGTAATCTGATTTAATGTAAAATTATAACAATAAAAAGCAGAGGCCCAAAGAAGAACATTACACAAGTGGAAGAATTAAAAATCCCCTTCAAGTTTATTCAAAATAAATCTTAAGATTCAAATGCAAAGCAGTGGTAAATCAATCTACAAAGGGGGTGTATAAGCTACACAAAAATAAACAGTAGTTCTAGAGTTGTCACGCAATCATACCTTATGTTTGATAGAAATAGACAGTAGCAAGGCAAGACAGATGTGTCTAGCCTATTCTTAAGCATGCCCCTTAACATTTTTTAGAAAACTTTCAGGCATGGCATGAACATGATTTCGCATAAGTCTAGAAGAGACGAGCATAAAAAAAAGCACTTGAACTAAAGTTGGTCCACGTTATATGTATGGATTTCATCAAACTGGCCCTCATCATACCACACTGTTATTATCCGTTTTGCAAGCCATAGGTTAAGATCTTACAAAGTATCTAATGTTCTCACTAGTCTCTTCCTCTCTCCACTTCATCCAAATCACTTACAACTTCATAGTCTCCATCCTAGCATTAATTTTAATATGGAAAGTTGTGATTAAAACATTAATATGTTCTTGAGTGTATATTACTTTATGCATGGTCAGTGAAAGAGTGTTCGTTAGTATATTAACAATAAGCTAAACTAATATTTTGACGACACATTTTTTATGGATTGATTTTAAGGGAAAATTTCACGCAGCTAACTTTATGAGGCAGATGTATTAATTCCACTGCCATCCAGAATATACAAGTACATGAGAAAATGAATAACATGGGATCATGTATTTTCTCAGTCGCTCACATCACTCATACTTTCCCACTCAACCTACATGATGAGACTGGAAGAATGGTAGCAGTCGTTATCATGCCCAAATTTAGGAGCAAGGCTTTACCAAGAAACAAAGAAAGAAGGAATTTAGTCTTCCTATAGGAACTTTTAGAACCCCTCTGATAAAACTAAACAAAAGATTTAACGAATGAGATGAGAAGAACTAAGGATATCTTCATCTCTCTTGGGTTCATGTGAACAATATGTTAGATTTCGTAGCCTTAGTTTTCAAGTCCTCGTAACACCACTCCAAGGAAAGTAATGAAATTAACACAGTCGTCCTTACTTGGAAGGAGGGCATAGAAAAGCATCTTTATCATTCAAACTAGTTTAAGACTTCATTTAAAAAGTACAATGCCTTTATTACTGTTAAGTACAACATAAAAATGGAGGTGTCAATGTGAACGTCCAATTGCCAACTTTTCAAATTTCTTGGAATTCTATTTGATTCGTTGCATAGATAATGCAATTTAAAGTCATACAAAAAAATGTGACTATCAAAGTTTTTCAAGGAAATTAGCAATGAAGTTAAGCACGTTTACTTCACCAACTTTACTTAAAAGCACACCCCTAAAAGTTACCTTGCATATGAAGACTTCAATTTTATGATGTTTACATCAAGTTTTCAACAGACCAAATATCCCTTAATACAAATCCAAGTCTTCTATGAAGCATTAGCATTGGTAGTTTATTCCTTCAAGTTTCCTCTCGAGTGGCTTAGAAGAGCCCACATGCTTGCTAGACTCAATGTGGCAATTTAAATAATTCATGTTAATTACATCAATAAAAACATTGTGAGAATAATGTATCAATTCAATGAAAATGCAGAACAACTTAAAAAGAGAGGATGTGAAAAGTTTACTACATGCATTAGGAGGATAGGTGGGGACGAGTTTCAATACTATACATAACTATCCTCGAGCCACAGCAATCCTATCACAAGACTTGCCGCTAGTCCTATTAAGTACTACACATGAAGACAAATTTATAAGCCAAAAGAAGACTTAGACGAAGCTTAACAACCCAAATAGCAATTTGATAAGTAACTTTCACTAAATCTACCCATGCGAACTAATCAAATCCAATCAAGTACAATCTTATTACTATCAAAAATCTTCCTACAATCAACGAGACACTCTAAGGACAACTACAAGTGCACGATCAAAGCAACCCAAAGGTTCAAAACAGTTAAAAGACCTACCTTTAGCCAATCTAACAAAGAAAATACATCGGTTTCCCAAAAGCAGACCTCACAAATCCTTCAAGGTTAAATTTAAACATCTCCTAACATTATCGTAGCAATCAAAGATAGGTTAACAATAGGGAAAGACTAAAAGACGAATCTTCAGCCTACCGATTACAAATAGAAGCCGAGGATTGATCTCCGAGACCGTTTTCCAGCAAATAGCCACTAGCTGCAGCCGAGAGGAGCAACGAATTAGAGCAAAAAGGGGGCGAAAGTATGCACCATTGAATCCAGACAAAAAAGGATAGCAACAACATCTCAAAGCGGTGACCTTACCTCCTGTTAAGGGTTATTGATAAAAACAGCAAGACAGTAATGGAATCTTACAAAAGTAATTGCCAGCTTCATATTGAATGTTTCCAACAAGATTAAAATTGTTTAACAGCTTAAGGCAAAAAAGATAGATTACTTCTTTGCTTCTGGATTTTTTTTTGTGATATTTGGAAAGAACAATAAAAATTTACTTGGGGGATGTTTGGCAACTGGATTTAACAGGATTTGAGCAGAATTTATGCTCCTAAATCCTGCCAAAGGAGATTAGAGCTCCCGGTAACTCTCACGGCGTAATAAATCCTCCGTTTCCCTCTATTTTCCATAAATCTCGGATTTACTAAATCCTGTTGTTAGGCGGATTTATGGTATTTGGCCAAAGAAGCGCGCAAAAGTGATAAAGATGGTTACCTTCGCAGCGAGCGAGCTCCCGTCTAGACTTCCGATCCTACGTCGTCGTCGAAGGAGGCGAAGAAGCTTCTTTAGCGACTCTTTCAACCCACACTTCACGCGGAGCACGCGAGGCCGAAGTAGGCACGAAGAAATGGCGATGAGGAAAAGCAACAATACAAAGATAGATCAAAGTGAAAGTACTCTTACCGGTAGTGGCGGATTGAGGAGAGATAAAGAGCAGGTGGAAGACGGAAGGAGCGTTGAGAAAAATGATAGTGGGCTGTGGAGATTAAACGCGGAGAAGAAGCGCGGCTGCTACGGCAATTGGCGACCAAAAGAACACTTCGCAGATTTTCGAGCCCGCAAAAGTTACAGTGCTCCCGATGCCCGTCCTGATTTACCGACATAATAATTGAAACTTGTCAATTTAAATTTCTAACACTTTGGAAGTTTTTTTAAAATACACTTATAATACAACATGTATATATTCCTATTGAATCATTTCTATCATTCTGTTTGCTACATATCTTCTCTATTATTATAAGATTGGTCTGTTCTTCCTTGTTATGTCTCAGAATTTAATTTAGTAAAATTATTTTTTTATATTTTAATATACGACAATTAAAGCTATCTAATTTTTTTATCAACATAAATACTAACGAAAACAAAATTATCGATTAAAATATTAATATATATATATATATATATATTTATTTATTTATTTCTCTAAAAAAATCATACACGCTACTCAGAATCTATATAATCATATCATAATTATTCTGTCATAAGTACAAAAAAATAATTAAATAATAAAAACCTGAATGATCATGATCAATTGCGCACTCTTACTCCATTTCTTGACCTAAAATTATTTAACTATATATGATAAGCTCAAAAGCCTATTTAATACCTAAATCTTATAACTAAACTCAAATCACGGGAAAAAGAGCAATATACATGTTAGCAGTTAAATCATAGCAATAGCAATCATATGATCATGAATCGATGTAGAAACAGTAAAATGTACATACATTAGAAATAAATTCTGTAGCTAATAAAGTGATGCAATGTGAAAGTCAATAAAGCAGTACAATAGAGAAATCAATAAATAAGTACTAGCGCTAAATCACTAAAATATTTGTTGTATTAGTATAATCAATCTATAAAAAAAATCATTTAAAGTAGTAAAATCAAAACCTCAATGAAAACCGTCAAAATTATATTAATACATTAAAATCGCAGAATAGTCTACACATGTCACATGCTCAATATATTGTGTGTTTAGTACATATACTCAATATCAGTATAGTGAATCAGTATTATCAAACAATATCGATGTCTATATCGGTAACAGTAATAGATTAGTGAGAAGAGCAATAAAATAATGTAGTAACAGTAAATTCATGCATTAATAATAAATTTGTACAATCATAAAAATAATGTATCAATAATATGCATTTTAGTAATCATACTAAACAAATAAAAAGTTTTAGCTTAATCGGTCTTTTTTCAATATCATATCAGTAGCAATAAATCATTGTCTCAATAAATAGAGTTGTCGTTCTATGCATGTCAATACAATAATCATCTACTTTTAAGTCACAATCAATATCGCATGAATTAGTAAAGGATATTGGTGTCAAAAATTGACACGACCCAAAAACCCTACTCAAATCCGTCACAGAAATTTTGGGTTCAGGACCCAAAACTGGTCGGTTTCGGGTCTTGATTTTTGACCCGTTTCAAAATTTAGGTCTGGTTCGGATTGACCTGGAAACCCAATTTTGACCCAGTTTTGACTTGGAATCCAACCAGCAACGATTCAGCGAACAAGGAAGCCCACTAAAGGGAGAAAGTTACCTTAACAGTGAGCAAACTCCTGTCATTGCTTCTGAACAAAATGTTGTAACTTCCAATACAACTGGAAGGGAACAGCGGCCAAGGAGCAAAGTAGAACAGGTAGTGGGCATTGTCAACGGCAAAGACAACGCGACACTACACTGTGTCGTCAAACGAGCGAGCGAACTCCAATAGTTGTCATTGCTTCCAATCAAAATGTTGTAACTTTTGATGCAGCTGGAAGGGAACGTCATCCAATTTTGACAACCCTGTTAGAGGATAACAACAAGTCATAATATTTAAAAGAAAAGTTCATCGACCCACCATCTTGTACAGGCCAACAATCTCTAGTCAACTTCAATGAATAACTAGCCTTGCCTTATAATTTTTCACTCATATTATTATCATAGTACCAGTGGCGGAGCTAAAAATTTTATTTAGGGGGCGTATCTCCATGAAGTAGGGGCATGACATTACTATATATATGGCTAGCTAATATTGTGTAATTAAAACACAATATTAGCATTTTCTATTAAGTACGATATTATTTATTTCCCATAAAAGAGCATACTGATAACAAAAAGAAATTACATGATTAAAATAATTTTATTTGTCATTTCATCTGGAATGTTATAATACATTAAAATAGCTGCCCATGAGCCTTTGGTGGTTTTCATTTGGATTGCCTTGCCTGATTAAGACCACATGTAACTAGTTAGAAGTAACATCTTTGCCATTGGAAAGATATTTGGCAAACCTATTCAAATAAATAACACAAAAGGTAGCACATACAGATTATAATGCACTTGTATCCCAGTTGAGATGGATGTATCGAAATAGTATGCTAATAAATCTAGATTTGGGTTGCTAGTACTATACTTTTTTTACCATTTTACCTTTATGGATAAGAGTTACATATAACCCTTGAAATTCTATAAATAAAAGGTATAGAAGCACATTTTTTATCTTTTGGATCTTATCTCATTTTTACAATACTTTGAGTATACATAGTTTTACTTAATTCAAAAAGTTCCAAAATGTCATATCAATAAGCAACAAAAAATACTATTGAGCATAAATTCATGTTTTCATAAATAGTTAAATTACTATAAATCATATATAATAACATTTTGAAGCTTTAATTGAACTAAATAATCACTTTTAGATGTTAAAATAAATTTTTGAACTGAAAAAAAAAACAATTTTTTTTAAAAATCATTTGGTAATAAATAAATACCCAAAATATTCATAATTATAATATCTATAAAATATAAAAATTTATAAGATAAAAGTTTTATCAATACAAAATTATTCTCATTTTTTATAACAAAAATACAAATTTAATCAAAAAAAACTAAAAACTTCAAATTATTAAAATTAGAAATATGATAATGATTTCTCACAATGAGGAGAAAATCTTCCAACAAAATTAAGTGGTCAAAATCACTCTATAGCCTCAAAACTCAAAATTTCTTTTTTCTCGATGCTCCAATTTAGTAGTGCTCTGGGTTTTTAAGGTTTTTCCTCCCACCGCCCTGAGTTTTCCCTCCTTTTTCTCCTCCTCCGGCTTCGCCGGAGGATCATGGCATCTACTCCCTCCCCCTCGGATTTTCCTCCTCTCCCAGGTGGATCCTCCTCTCCTTCGCCGCCTAATCGTCTTTGGAAGCATTTCTTTGCGCCCACAGTTTCTAACCCGTCCGACCTCCACTTCACCTTTCACCCCTCGGAGCCCGATATAATACCTTTTTCTTGTGAGAAGCTTGCTAAAGGCACTGAATCCTGTAACCTTTCTTTAGTGGGTTACTCGATTGGTCGCAGGCCTTTCTATGAAGCTTTACTTGGTTTTATGAAGAAAACATGGGCACTCAAAGGATCTTTGCAACTCCTCTCCCTAAGCGATGGCTTCTTCTTGCTTTGCTTTACATGTTTTGAAGACTATGACAAGATCTGGGCTAAAGGCGTTTGGTTCCTATTAGGTAAGCCATTCATTCTTCATAAATGGCACCCGAAGTTCAAGCCCGTGAAAGAGGACTTCTCATCTGTCCTGATTTGGATTAAAATCCATGATTTACCACTAGCTTGCTGGAACTCGGAGGGTATTTCCAGAATCGCAAGCAAGGTGGGTATCCCTGTAGCTGCTGATAACCTTACTTCTCAACGAACAAGACTCACTTTTGCCAGAGTTTGTGTTCTGGTTGATAAGGATTCCAAGTATCCTGAAGAAATTGATGTGTCGCTAGATGGAGATGTTATATCGCTGAAAGTTCAGTACGAGTGGAGGCCTTCGCCCTGTATTCATTGTAAGTCTTTAATTCAATTCTCTGCCTCTTTCCCGAGCAACCCACAGTCCTCTTTCGTCCAAACCGAGCATCCACACGTAGCTGTTTCTAAAGAACGTCAAAATAGAGGAAGAAGCTTTAGCAGAAAACCAAACTTTAGAAGAAATTCTACCCCTCGATCTTCTCCTATGGCGAGTAAGGAATTTATACCTCACTCCTCCCCCCAAGTTCTCAATGATAATGTTGTAAAACCGAAAGACAACCCCATCTCTAACTGCTTCGGACAAACTCTTCACTACCATCCTCACTCTCCTACTGCTCCTCCATCCTCTAAAGACCATGATCCTCCTCCTGGTCTGGACACCTTAGACAATGTGATAGATAAAGGTAAAGATATTATCGAAGCAACACCCATCTCAAACTTGAATTCGCCCAATGTTGATGATTTTCCAGCTCCCACCAATGTTGAGGATTTCCCAGTATCCACTATTCTTCCCTCTCAGGAAGTTAACCCTCCCACTATTGTTATCTCCCCAAACAAATTTGATGTTCTGTAGCAGCAGCAGGACTCGTTCTCCTCTTCGGACACTCTTGCTACAGGTGATAAGTCGGAGTTAGGCAAGAATCTAAAAGGGAAGCAGAATCAAGCTTCCAGTTTGGGTACCAAAAAGAAACCTGCTAGGGGAAGCAGGGTAAAAAACCTCCTCCGCACCTTTTCTCCTGATGTCTCTGCCATCCTTGGCTGCTTGGAATATCAGGGGGTTTAACCGCCCTGATAAGTTTTTATGTTGTAAGCGTCTGGTTGATTCATTTAAGCTGGACATGTTATACATTCTTGAGAATAGAATCCTCCTCTCTACTCTCCAGGACCCCTCCTTTGAACTTGCCCAGACCATTTTTCCCTCTGAATGTAGCTGTCACAACTTCGACCTCTCTTCGTCGGGTAGAATCTGGGTGAAATGGAATGCCTCAAAGATTCATTTTCAGCCATCTACCATCACTCCTCGGCTTATTTCGGGTATGGTTCATGCTGGTAGTGATGATCGTCTGTCCCTTTGGTCGCTCATCACTAACTCTGACCCTCTTGTGACATCCCCTGGATTCTGTTGGGAGACTTCAACTGCTGTTGGTACACTAATGAAAAAGTTGGAAGCTCCCCTCTTACCAGTAGAGCTTTAGCTGATCTCAATTCTATGATTTTTGATAACTGTTTGTCGGACCTTTTCTCGGTAGGCAATAAACTTACTTGGTTCAATCAACGTATGGATTCTCCCATACATATTAAGTTGGACAGAGCTTTAGTTAATGTTTCTTGGGGCTCTCATTTCCCCAACTCTTTTTGTTCTTTCCAGAGCCCCGTTTGCTCGGACCATTGTCCTGTCATTCTTCATCCAGGTGATGTCGCTAGCATACATCACAGGTTTCTTTTCAAGAATTACTGGACCAAGCTTGATAACTATTGGGCTCTCTCCTTGAGATCTTCTCTAAACCGGTGACTGACAATCCTCTTATTTCATTGTGCAACAACCTCAGGCAGTTTAAAAGTGCTGTTAAGAAGGAAAATTGGGCTCATTACTCTAACATTAATGCACAACTGAGTAATCTTCATAGGGAACAAGATTTCTGGATGGCTAAAATACAGCAAGATCCCCTCAACAGCCTCTTCAATGCCTCCCTCAAAGATATTAACTGTAAAATTGTGAATCTTTCGAGTATGATGGCCTCGTGGGTAGCTCAAAGAGCAAAAGTTAACTGGCTAAAGCATGGGGAGGATGATTTGAAATTTTTGTATGCTAAAATCAGGAGTAGAAGGAGTAAAATGCAAGCGGCTAATAACCTGTGTCATTCCAATTTTAATTTAGAGGGCATTCAAGACATTATACGTCATTTTCAAGAGCTATACAATCCTACTTTGTCTAATCAGGAGAACTTAGTCATTCATCCCATTGGCTCTTGCATTCCTGAATGTCTTATCCCCTCTCTTACCCTGTCGGTTAATACTTGTGAGATAAGAAAGGCTGTTTTCTCCGGATCTTCCACCTCCTCTCCTGCTCCAGACGGGTTCAACTTCCATTTCTACAAATCCGGGTGGACTATCATTGGTCCTCTTCTTATCAAAGCGGTCAGCTCTTTTTTCTCTAAAGGTTTTATGCCTAGGGGGGTGAAGACCACTGCACTTGCTCTTATTCCTAAGCACAATCATGCTTCTGTTATTTTCGATTTCCGCCCTATTGCTTTATGTAATGTTATTTATAAAATTATTGCCAAGATTATTGCAAACAGGTTAGCTCCCATCATGTCCAGCATTATTAGCAACAATCAAGCTGGATTTGTCAAATCCAGAGTCTCTATTGATAACATATTGCTAGCTAAAGAAATTTTGGCTACCTGTTCCAAAAAGGGACAAAAACCTTTCTGTGCTAAAATTGACATTCGGAAGGCTTTTGATACTGTTTCTGGAAGATTTCTTACTGATAGGTTGTATCAGAAAGGTTTTCTTCACAAAGTGGTGAATTGGATTAAGGCTTGTATTAATGATGTGAACTTTTCCATCATTACAAAAGGTGCTTTAGAGGGATATTTTCCTTCTTCCGCTGGTTTGAGGCAAGGTTTCCCCCTTAGTCCATTACTTTTTTGTATAGCTATGGATGCATTTTCTGCCTCCCTGGATGATGGAGGTTTCAAAGGCTTCTCCTTTGATGGCTATAACATCAGCCATCTACTTTATGCTGACGATGTTCTCATTTTTGGGGAAGCAAACGTTGACAATTGCAACATTCTCACTAGAGTCCTTAACTCTTTTGCAAATTCCTCTGGTCTTCACATCAACCTTGGAAAAAGCTGTATCATGTTTCCCAAAAACATTAAAAACCATAAAGAGATTTGTGATGCTCTATCCATTCACAATATTAGTCAAAAGATTATTTATCTGGGAATTCCACTTTCTTTTTTCTCTTTGAAAGTGGACGTCTTGCCTTTAATGGATTCTATTAATTACAAGATGTCTGGTTGGAAGGCTTGTCTCCTCTCTTTTGCTGGCAGATTGCAGTTTATTACATTTACTATCTTGAATTCCATAGCGTACTGGATTAGGGGTTCAATTTTACCTAAAACGGTTGTGAAGTTTGTCAATAAATCCTCTTCTAAGTTCCTCTTATTTGGGGATCATGCTGGTGGGAGAAAAATGCACATGATTTCCTAGGGTAACATTTGTAAGCCTAAGTCTTGTGGTGGGTTAGGTTTACCCTCCATTAATGCTATTGTTTTTGCTTACAACTGTGCTGTAATTTCGAGAATGTATAATTCCACCTCTCTCTTCTCCACCTGGTTGCGGAAACTCTATATTTCTCCCTGGAGACCTCCCAATTCTCATGCTACAAAGTTTTGGAAATCTATTTGCAACACTGCTGTTATTGCAAAGTCTTACTTTAAATTTAGAATATCTGAACTGGCACCTTTCTCTATTCTTTGGGACCATTGGTGTAATGATGCTACTTTATCGGATACGGTTATTGGTGATTCTATTCTGAATGATTTAAGTGAGGATGCCACTGTTAGTTTGATTATCTCGGGGAATAGCTGGGTTCTCCCGGATAATTTATTTCCCTATATTAAGAATATTATTACTGCCAATTATATTCACCAAAACTCTGACATTTGTTTATTGTGGGAAAATGCCGGCATTGGTTACTTCAGTACTTACATTAATGGTTTTTATAAGCAGGAAAATGTTTGTACTTGGGCTCATCTTATTTGGCATACTAAATCTGTGTTGAGATACTCTGTCTTCTCTTGGATGTCTGTGCTGGGAGCGTTGAAAATAGCAGATGCTTTACTCAAGAGAAATATTTTGGTTCCTCCCTCATGTGGGTTATGCCATGCTGTTCCTGAATCTACTTCTCTCTTGTTTTTTGAATGCTCTTACTCTTACTCTGTCATTTCCCGTCTACTGCCTATCGCCAATGGTTTGTTATTAAGGCCGTCGTTTTTACAATTGCTGGAATGGATTGAAGATATGTATTTTTCTAACGGGCAACTCAAAAATCTATACCTTCTTATCTCCAATGCCTGTATTTACTTTATATGGAAAGAGCGTAACAACAAAAGATTTGGCAATGTATCTTGTAGCTCTATTACTACTGCTCTCATTATCAAGAGAGCGATTCATGTGATTATTTCAGGATGGAAGGACTTTACTTCTCTTCTGGAGTATCTCTGAGCTGGGGGATTTTGTTGTTTCTCGTTGGATATTCGATTGTCGCTTTGGTGGGACTTGCCTGCGGGGTTAGCCTTGGACAATGATGTCCCCTATTGCAGGCCCCTTGGACGGTCCTCTGGGGCAACCAGGGTTCTTCGAAATTTTCATCAGCAACCAAACTGAGTCCTTGGCTACTACTTTTCTTCATTCCTGGAACTGAATTTTTGCTTCCCTGTCTTCAGGTTCTCTTCAAAGTGCTGCTGATCAAGTTTGTGGACGGACTGCTTTTTGTCTTCATCCTGCACTCTTTTCTTTTGGTTTTTTACATGGTTGATTTTTGTGTGAAACTTCAAAATTATAGAAAAAAATCATAAAATAACATATTTTATATTCAAAATTTAATGAAATCGGTGCAAAATAGACACATAACAGTTCCAAAATTTTCATTTATACCGACATGTGTCAATTTCTCAAGGTTTGCATCATTGCCCCGATATATATCAATTTTCTAATAATTTGTACCAATGCCCAAAAATTAGTGTGATTAAATCACTACAATATCTATGTTATGACAAAGATGGTTTGTGATTTGGACTTATAATGATTGCTTGAAAAAAATATTTGACTGGGTTATTACACTAATGCCCTATTCACGAACTTCACTCGCCCTGTTTCGATGAGAACTCCTACCTTAATTATTTCTCTATTGTTTGTTACGTCGGGAGAACTCTTACTCTAGTGATGTTCTTTATTACACTCTTCTTCATCATTTGGATAACTCCCACTCCAGTGAGAGCTCCCGCTCTAATCACGAACTCCATTGTAATAGTATGGTGAGAAGTCCTTATGCCCTAATTTTTTTCCTATTATTTCTTATGTTGGGATCATGTCTTGTTCAAATCTTATGTCAATAATAAATTATCTAATTTTTTTTATTGTTATCAACCTCATCGATCAAGTTGAAATAAGCTTTTTCTTTTAAAAAATTGACTATTTGAAATTCAAAAGTTATTTATAGATATAAATGCCGCCCAAGCCCTCTTTTGTCCTAAATAGAAAATCAATTATGATGCTCACTATTACAATCACAAATGACAATATTCTATTTAGTCACATTGATTCATGAATCAATGGATGAGATTTTTTGTGAATCTATCACATTGTTAGAAGATTCACGAGATGAGTTTTTATTGTGAATTTATCACATTGCCAAATGAAATCAAGGGAAGAGATTATTTCATTATATAGTCATCTATTCACATGATGACAATAATCTATGCAACAAGTAGAAATTTTTCTTCAGTATTGTGAAAATTTTCTCCCCATCTCCCGTTGTATATTCTCTTTTCGTATAGAATGGGGCTTCTTACGGTATAACAACATATTGGATAAGTTAATCTTGGTGGAAAGAAAAAAAATGCATTGTCATTATGGCATGGGTTAAGACGTTTGCATTCATCGCAAGCTAAAATATGTATTTTTTTAAGTTTATGTTACATTAGTATTGTTCGTTGATAGTCCTTTCTTCTGAAATATTCAATTTCATTTGATGCATGCATATATTTCAGGTATTGTGCTATTCGAATGTATGAGTTTAATATATTTAATTTGATCTACAAGCATTCACTTGCGTCAAATTTTATGTAATTAAACCTTGCAATGCATGATATTTAAAGCATATCGAGGTGAAAATCATCGACGAAGATTTTATCATTGCCCTTGAAATAGGACCCAAGACGATTGTAACTTCTTCTGATGGATTGATGAAGCTAATCATTCATCGTTTAAAAATAATCATCCAAGAATAATGACAATGGAGGAAATGACTTTAGAAAATTTTAAGTCAGTTAATTATGAGATGATACAAATTAAAGCTATGTTTTTAGCTTGGTTTGCAGTATCAACATTAGTGTTCATTTTTGTAAATGTTTTGATATGTTAGGTGGAGACAATAAAAAATGAAATTTCTTTTTTATGTATTGCAAATGTACATTCAACTATTTTGCAGTATATAGATAATTGTGCTTTGTTAATTGCTATTTTAAAAATCTATTTTAATCAATCATTTTACATTATGCATATTTATTATAGTGTAAGCTTGCATTAGTTCAGATGTGCACTATTACTAATGGGAGATTATTCAATTCAATACATTAGTTGACCTCTCCAAAAGTGTTGGCAATAGGAGGCATATTACACGAATTTGCAATGGATGATTTTAAGAAGCCAGAATTTAAAACTAAAATGCATAAATGAAAATAAGCAGAAATGTAGAAAGACAGTATGCCAAAATTTGAAAACTACACAATTATATGTATTAACCCAAAAAGCTCGGCAAAATATTTCTACAATTTTGAATCGGACATAAACCTGTCCTTTTTGACACCCCTAAGGGCAATCTTATCTCTAGAAAGTCTTAATAAATATTATTGAAGGTGACCATTAATTGACTACCATCATCAATTTATCATGTTATTAGAGTCTAGGCTCGTCATATTGAGTAACCACATGTTAACATCATTTAGCCACCATTTGGTCTTGAAAGAACGAGATATCCAATGTGTACTATTTATAATTATAAAGAATATTTTTGGATGATGGCTCGAAGTTCCTTCATTAAAATTACATACAGCTCAACAAACACTCTGTTGATTTCAAGAGACTTCTAAGTTAGGAAGTTTTGAATACCTCAATGTTTCATTTGGGATAATTTATTATGCTTTCCAAAATAGCTTTATAATATTAAAATTTTTAGTTTAAAAAATCTTTTAACTAAAAAACTATTTTAAGAAGCAATAAGAAAGTCGTCACAAACAAAGCCTAAGAAATTATGCACTACAAACATTGACAAAGTCTTATTTTACAACTGTTGAATGATAGAGTATAACAAAGAAAAATAGTGGAAGAAGAATGTAATACAAAAATGAAACGGCGATTTGATATTGAATTTATCATCTATTACAATGCATGAAAATGTGTATATATAGTGAAGTAGAGTACAAATTTGTTAAGCAACATGGTTGTTGCTTGTGGCTGCACTAAGTAACCGTGCACATGGTAATAACCACCTGGTTGTTCGTAGCATGTGATGTTCTATTTTGTCACCTGATGCTAATTTATGTAACACTCCCCCTCAAAGAGAGGATCCACTGATTAGATCATCAATTTGTGCTTAAGAGTGTGAAATCGAGTGGCTAACAATGGTTTGGTAAGGATGTCAGCTGGTTGGTCAATCGAGTTAATGTGTTGCACCATAATCGGCTTAAACTTAATGTGATCACTAATTAAGTTGTGATCTATTTTGATGTGTTTGATCCTGGCATGCAAGACTGGATTGTTGGCAAGGGCCAAGGATGAAGTATTGTCACAGTAAAGAGGTGTGGCGAAGGTTTGAGATTCTTGAAACACTTCCATGAGATGTTGAAGCCAGATGATGTTGGAGGTTGTAGATGCCCCAATATTCAACCTCCATGGATGATTTCTCCACCGTAGTTTGCTTTTTAACACTCCATAAGATAAGGTTTTCGGCTAAGAAGGTACAGAATCGTGTTATGGATTTGTGATCAGAGTGGTCAGCTACCTAGTCATCATCTGTATATGTGCAGAGTTGAAGTGGGATGTGAAGAATGGGATGGTTGTAGGAAAGGGTACCCAGAATATAGCAAATTAATCATTTGAGAGATTGAAAATTGTTATTTGTGGGATTGTGCACGTGTTGGCAGATTTGATTTGTAGCAAAGGCAATATCTGGTCATGTAGTTATGTATTATAGTGAACCTACTAGTTGATGGTAGAGACCATGATTATTAAATGGTTGATCTGCAAATTTACATTTGGAAGGTTTGGTAGACATAGGGGTAAGGGAAGGCTTACAGTTGTTGAATTTAGTGGCCTTAAGGATGACATGAGCGTAGTGTGTTTGGTTGAGGAATTAACCATGAGATGTATGTTGAATATGTATGCCCAAAAATAGTGAAACCAAACCCAATACCTTGAGTGTAAAGGGAGCACGTAGATGGGAGATGATCTATCGAACAGTTGGGAGATGACTACCTGTGATAACCATTTCATGTACATATATTAATAGGTAGATTTATATATCGGTGTGAGTGTAAATGAGTAAGGAAGGATCAAATTTGCTGAAGACGAAGCCAAGAATAATAAGTATTGAGGTGAATTTTTAAAACCATTGCATTGGATCTTGCTTGAAACTGTATATAGCTTTGTAAAGTATAAAAACATAATGGGGAAATTGAGCGTCAGCGAAAAAACATTTTCTAAAGATCACCATGGAGAAAGGCATTGGAGGCATCTAACTGAATAACATTCCAGTTGTGGTAGAGAGCAATAGTGAGGAGAATATGAATTGTGGGGATCTTCATGAATGGACTGAATATATCTTGGTATCAATGTCGTATTCTTGATTGTTGATCTACTAATCTAGCTTTATAGGGCTCGAGTTGGACATCATACCAAAGTTTTATCTTGTAGGTTCAATGACAACCAAGGATGGACTGATTTGACGGAGCTGGAACTGTTGACCAAGTGCCTTGTTTTTGTAATGCAAGGAACTCCTTTGACATGGCTGAACTCCAGTTCTTGGGTTTGGCCACTTAAGACTAACTAGTAGGAGTAGAGGAAGGTTGAGAAGTGGCCAAGAGGTTGAAGATACGTTTGGGTTCAAGATGACTGGTTTTGAAATGAGTCTGCATTGGATGAGCCGTAGTGAGTGGTTTGTAGGGAAGGGATGAGGCAGAGGACGGGACTGATGTGTCTAGTAGAGTGGGAGAGATTGATGATGATAAATTAATGAGTGGATGAGGATGTGCAGAGGTAGGTAGGTTGGAGGTTGTGAGGATACTGATATGGTGGAGGTTGGAATAAGTAGAAGAGGAGAGGAGGCAGTGAGAGATGATGAGGAGGATGGAGATGAGGAGATGGAGGCATAGGGAAATGTATGTTCATGAAATGTGATGTGCTTAGAGATATGTATTTGCTTGGATTGAGGATTAAAACATCAGTAGCCTTTATGGGAGGGTGAGTATCCAAGAAAGATGCATGCATGGGATATAGGAGAGATTTTGTGGTGAGCTAAGTGATTGAGATGAGGAAAGCGAAGACAACCAAATGTTCACAAATGAGTGTAGGTAGGGGGATGACCATGGATTAGTTGGAATGGTGTATGGAGGTTGTGAGTCATGGTGGGAAGATGATTAACGAGATAATTGGAAATGAGGACAGCTTTGGCCTAGAAGTTGAATGGCATATAGGAAGCATGGAGTAACATACGAGTTCTCTTGAGCAGATGATGATTTTTGCATTCAGTGAGGTCAT